CCTGAAGGGCCCAGTTTGCTTGTGGGTAGTGGAGGAAGTGACTGAAAGCTGGCTAAGAGCTGAGCAAGCAGGATTCTTCCTTCTCAGACGCCTCGCCCACATACAGCACCACAACAATGTGAAGTGGGTTGCCCTGCCCTCAAAAATACCTATGCCTCTGCCCCTTACCATATAACAGGTACACTGAGACAAAGAAATATGGCCCAAATGAAAGAACAGATCAAAGCTCCAGAAAAAAATACAACTAAGTGATGAAGAGATAGCCAACCTATCAGATGCACAGTTCAAAACACTGGTAATCAGGATGCTCACAGAAATGGCTGAGTATGGTCACAAAATAGAGGAAGAAGTGAAAGCTATGAAAAGTGAAGTAAAGGAAAATGTACAGGGAACCAACGGTGATGGGAAGGAACCCGAGACTCAAATCAATAATTTGGAACAAAAGGAAGAAATAAACATTCAACTGGAACAGAATGAAGAAACAAGAATTTAAAAAATGAGGAGAGGCTTAGCAACTTCCGGGATAACTTTAAATGTTCCAACATCTGAATCATAGGGGTGCCAGAAGGAGAAGAGGAACAGCAAGAAATATGATAACTTATTTGGAAAAATAATACAGGAGAACTTCCCCATTCTAGCAAAGGAAATAGACTTCCAGGAGTTCCAGGAAACCCAGAGAGTCCCAAACAAGTTGAACCCAAGGAAGCACACACCAAGGCACATCATAATTACATTAGCCAAGATTAAAGATAAGGAAAGAATCTTAAAAGTAGGAAGAGAAAAGGAGACAGTTACCTACAAAGGAGTCCCTGTCAGACTGTCAGCTGATTTCTATAAAGAGATCTTGCAGACAAGAAGGGGCTGGAAAGAAGTATTCAAAGTCATGAAAGGCAAGGACCTACATCCAAGATTGCTCTATACAGCAAAGCTATCATTTAGAATGGGAGGGCAGATAAAGGGCTTCTCAGATAAGGTCAAGTTAAAGGAGTTCCTCATCACCAAGCCCTTATTATATGAAATGTTAAAGGGACTTATCTAAGAAAAGGAAGATAATCGAAACTATGAACAGTAAAATGACAATACACTCACGAGTAACAACTGAACCTAAAAAAACAAAAGCAAAGTAAGCAAACAACTGGAACAGGAACAGAATCTTAGAAATGGAGGTCACATGGAGGATTATCAGTGGGGAGGTGGTGGGGGAGAATAAGGGAAAAGGTACAGGGAATAAGAAGCATAAAAGGTAGGTACAAAATAGACAAGGGAGGTTAAAAATAGTATAGGAAATGGAGAAGCCAAAGAAGTTACATGTATGATCCATGCACATGAATCATACCAGAATTCCCCCACTAAGGTGGGGGAAATCTGGTGCAAGTGAGGGTGTAGTGGGAGGAAGAAAGGGGAGAAGAAAATTGGGACCATTGTAATAGTATAATAAAAAATATACCTAAAAAATATATCTAGAACATAGTCAGTACTTGAAAAAAATGAAATAGCAGTAGACAAAGAGACCAGAATTGAAAACCCAGATGGTTATTTCAGTGTATATAAACATTTATAATATAATAAACATAGTTCTTTTTAGAATGAGAAAGGTGGATTATTTAATAAATGGAGCAAGCCCAACTGGATATCCATTGGAAGAAAGTGGAAGAAAATAAAAATGAATCTTGTAAGTATTAAAGACTTAAATATTAGAAAGCAATAACCATCTTACAAAAAAACATAGTAGACTACATATACAATGTCTGTTTGAGGAATTGTGCCTAGGCCTCATATCCTAAAAATTAAAAAAGGAAATTTACCAGACAACAGCAAACTTGTAATAGAAAAATTGGTAAGAAATGTGAACAAGCAGTTTGCATAAGTTCAAGTTAATTGGCCAATAAAAGACTTTAGAAAAATATTTAAGTTCATTAATAGGGAAATAAATCAATGAATATTGATCTTTGAAATTAAAAAAGCATTTAAAAAATAACTTCTGTGGCTAACAAATGTGATTGAGGGATAGAGGATTCTAATACCTTATAGGTATAACTCTGCCCACCACCCCAGTATGGCATATGCATTGGCACAAAAAGTTTCTACTCAGAAACACATTGTAATGAAAAGTTTGGTTTATTTGTATGTAGAATACCTCTTGGTGGGTTAGGTTCTGAGTATTAGTCACTGTGGTTCTAGAGGCCTCATTTTCCTTGTTGTGAACCATCTATCTGCACTGACTGCTTTCCCCTGAGTTTGTAAGGATCAGATCATTTGTCTGTCAGGGCTTTGGAAATGATACATTGTGATTCAGAGGATATTACTTCAGGGCATGAGCTTTTTATTTTTATTTTTTAATTTTAATATATTTTTATTGATTATGCTATTATAGTTGTCCCATTTTTTCCTCCCCTCCCCCCCCCCCATATCCCCCTCTCACCATCATTCCCCAACCTTAGTTCATGTCCATGGGTTATACATGTAAGTTCTTTGGCTTCTCCATTTCCCACACTGTTCTCAACCTCCCCGTCTGTTTTGTACCTGCCATTTATACTTCTTATTCCCTGTACCTTTTCACCCATTCACCTCCTCCCCCTGCTCTTCTCTGCTGATAACTTCCATGTGATCTCTATTTCTGGGATTCTTTTCCTGTTTTAGTTACTTGCTTAGTTCATTTTTGTTTTTGTTTTTTAGGTTCAGTTGTTGATAGTAGTGAGTTTCTTGTCATTTTACTGTTCATATTTTTAATCTTCTTTTTCTTAGGGCAAGAGCTTTTTGAAAGCACAAGTTCAAGAACAAATTATGTAAATTGTGAAGTATATCTGAGAAGAAAATGTACTTCTGCATGTATGTTGTACTGGAGAAGGGCTTGTAAAGGATTTGCATTCTGCATTGAACTGAGTTTCGTAGTCTTGGAATTGTACTGTGTAATAGAACTTTCTGCAGTGATGAAAACCTTCTGTGGTGACTGGTTTCTAATAACTCTAGTCAGATGTGTCTGTGGAGCACTTGGCATGTATTAGTGCAACTGAGGAAATACATTTTTAATTATGTTTAATTTTAACTAATTTAAATTTCTGTATAGTCATATGTGGTTAGTACTCTATTGAACAGGACAGGAATCCTTGACATTGATTTGGTTTAATATATTAAATTATAGCTTGAGGTAGATTACAGCCAAGTCCCACTTGTAAACATCAGAGGTATGTTAGGTTTATATATGCCAAGAATAAAATGAGTATTAAAATGTCATTTGGTAAACAGAAGACCAGGATGAAGAAACTGTTAATAGAAGGTATTTATTTTGGAAAGCATTTATCCACAGAAGACTGTAGAAGCTCTGAGCATTCATACTTAGAAGTGCAGACATGCTGGTTCTTGGTGCTTTCCTTTTTCGGCTTTTGTGTTACCTCACTGCCATCACAGGGTTCCCTTGTAGGACACCTCTTCATTGCTCTCAAGGTCAGAGCCCTGGCTCTGCCATTTTTCTGTTGTGGTTCTTATCCATGGGCTTTAGTTTACTCCCCTGCAAAGTGGATCAAATATCTGTCTCCAAGGCCTTTCTTCTTCTAACATTCTGGGAACATTTTTTTTAATCCTTACCCAAGAATATGTTTCTTGATTTTAGAAAGGGGTGGGAGAAAAACATTGATGTGAAAAAGAAACATTGTTCAGCAGCCTCCCATAAACACCCCTACCAGTTGAACCCTCAGCCTAGGTATGTGCTTTCACCAGGGATTGAACACACAAACTTTAGGTGCATGGGATGATGCTCCAACCAACTGAGCCACACTGGCCACTCTGGCCAGGGCTAATGTTTATATATACATTAATACTTACCCGAGGACATGCTTATTAATTTTAGAGAGGGCAATGGAGGAAAAGAGGTAGGGAGAAACACATCAATTGGTTACCTCTCTTATACACCCTTATTGGGGCCTGAACCTGCAACCCAAGCATGTACCTTGACTGGGAATTGAACTAGCAAACTTTTGGTTTATGGGATGGAGCTCTTAACCAACTGAGCCACACTAGCCAGGGCTAAGGTTAGATATTTTTAAAAAACTAATTTGCAAGCTCATGTTGTAATCAGTGAAGGCTTACTTTTGGGGGTTATGTTGTTTTTGTCATGTTTTGTGTAAAATATTGAGGATTGTGATTATTTAAGAAGTAAGAAAAAAGAAGAGCTTGTCATTTTTTATTCTCAATATTTACTGATTTATTTTTTACTTCTATTAGAATATCTACCTACTTGAATATTTTAGTAAATAAACAGCTATATAGAGAACTGGGAAGCAGTGAAAAAATTTTTAATGTACAGTTGTATATTTATATTATATTTGGGAAAATACAGATGAAGTAGAAAGCCTGGTTTGTATCTTGATAGATTTTTAAATTTGAGATTACTCAAGAGAATGGGGATAACAGTTAGTTAATATATAGTTAGTTAGTTATAACTAACTTAGTACTGCTTTCTGGAGGAAATCCAGAAAGTACTAAGCATAAAGTATAAATAAAAGTTGATTTAGTAATTTGTAAGAGAAGGACAAATAGATTGTCTGGTGAACCAAAGTCAAACAACTAAAATTTTTCTTTACATCATGATTTTTATTTTGGCTTTTGTTTCGTTCTTTTAAAGGGTTTGGTTGGGAAAGAATTTTAGGAGTGTGGCATGAATAGAACAAAACGAATAAAAAGGCATATAACAGCCCTGGCTGGTTAAGCTCAGTGGATTGAATGCGGTCGTGTGAACCAAAGGGCTGCCTCTTTCATTCCCAGTCAGGGCACATGCCTGCATGGTGGGTCAGGTCCGCAGTTTGGGGCAGGCAAGAGGCAACCACACATTGATGTTTTTCACCCTCTCTTTCTCATTCCCTTCCCCTCTCTCTAAAAATAAATAAGTAAAATCTTTTTTAAAAACTTAAATAAAAGGCCTATAACATGTAAGAAAAATAACATTTGATTATCAGTATGTATTTTCCTAAAGTTTTATGTGTGTGTGTGTTTTTTTTTTATAGAGTCCTGTGAAGGTAAATCAGGTTAGCCTGGATGAAAGTGGAGAACACATGGGCGTGTGTTCGGAGGATGGCAAGGTATGGTGCTGATGTGGTCACCTTGAAAGCATTCTTGCACTGAGGGCTGAGCTGTTACCCAAGTCCAGGTGCTTGGAAAAGCACTCTGCTTCTTGTATACCTGCATTAGGAGAAACTTGGTTATTCTTTTTGGGTATGAACTTGCTTCTGATTGCTCATAATTAAAGTAAAATATATTTTTTCACAAATGTGCCTTAGGAAAAGTAATTACGAGAATGTCAATAATATAACTAGTATTAAGCTGATTAACAGCTGTGGCAGGGGGACTTGTCACCTTAATCATTACTGCTGTGCCACTTAGACTTCAGTGACTAGTCTGCAGTTCCAGTAGTTTAATGCCTTTCTGCCATAAATCCACAAAATTGGATTTTGTGGGCATGATTTCTGTGGGCCGGTGGCTTTCATTTTCACACAAGTTATGAATGTTTCTCTTGAACCATAGAATCTTTTGATAAGCAATCATAGTTTATCAGAAGAATAAAGTATCTTACAATAGTCACATTAAATAAATATAAAATCAATATATGTACAGTTTTCTAAAAACCTGGCACCCACTTCCTCGATTGAGGACATACATCATTTGTGCAGTGTATAACTAACAATTATCAGTGCTTCTTGCTGATGTTGAGCTGTGACATTAGTTGTTGTGGTGATTGATTTTCCACTTAAAGGAATGTCTTTTTTGTTTTTCAGTCCATGGAAGTCTTTTCTAATGTTGGTTTGCAATGATAAAATTCTCATGCACAATGTATTGAAGATACTTTTCTAAAATAACAGTTTAAAAAGAGAATGCATTAAGAATCATTATAGAACCTTACTTGTTCCTGACTGAGGAGAGCAGATTTGCTAATCTAATTTTGTATTTTTTATGTGATCTAAATTTAATGTGCCATTAGGATGAGTAAATTAAAAACATCCTCAGTATAAAAGATTTATACCCATTTAATCTGTTAACAAAAGAAAAATGAACCCTTCTTGACATGCAGGAATGCATTTTATGTATCTATACCTAATGTTTCTTAAAGAGTGTATTGAAACAGTAATTAGAACACTTGTGCTTTTCAAAAAGCACTGTCAGATTTTACAGTACCTTCTGAAATTCTGCAGTGAATCAGACTGTCAAAGAGAGATTGTGGGAGGAGTTGGTATGTACAGAAGTTGAGGAGAATTATCCAAACCATTGAAACACTCTTATATTTATATACTTGTAAGAAAGATCTTTATTTTCTTAACAATGAGGAATTCCTTCTGGGCTGTTATCAATTTAATTGAACTAATTTATTGAAAGAAAATATTCATTTTTTGAATTAAATTTTTTTTTACTATGATAGTTCATCTAGAAATTTTCAAACTTTAAATATTAAAGAATTATTATTTGATGTGGCAGGGTGGATATTTTAACTACTTTTGGTGAATAATGAGATGACCCTCAGATGTCTTGTAGGGTACACTTGACAAACACCTCTGTTTTTTAATTTTAGTCAAATTTGTAACTGCTGTATTTTTGTGTAGACTCATGATACCTTTTAAAAATGCTTTTCTTATATATTTTATTAGTAAAGGTGGAATTGCAAGTATTTCAGGGCACATTTTTGTGTAAGCTTGCCTTTACCATGGGTTAGTCAGTATTGTGAAAATTTAGTAGCTAGCATAGAGTGACCTGGTAAAGTGGTTAGTGACGATAGAGATCATTACATAGGTAGACTGTAAATATCTAGGTGAATGCATCTTAAAAGGACTGTGCTTTTCCTTTCTTTAGTGTATTAAGACTCCTAGATAATAATCATCTGTGTACTGTTTCAAAGATAAACTTTGATATTTGTATTCAGTTTTAAAGTCATAATTCTAACAGTTGTTTAAAATGTACTCTGTTTATTCAGCTGGTATTCATTTCTATCTTTATTCCAGGGCTTTGCTGTGCTTCAGTTCTAAGTTTTGAGATACATTCACACATATATTGTGCATGTGTGGTTTCAGTTTATGGGCATACATTTTTAGTTAACTTTCTGATAAGTGCATACAAGATTTATTTTTAATCTCTTATATATATAAATGTTACCTTAATACATATACTAGAATCAATTTAGTATAGAGTTCTGGGTTGAATAATTTTTCTCTCAAAATTTTGGACATGTTTTTCCCTTTTGTCTAAGCTTTATTCTTGTAGACCTATCTGAGGCCTATCTATCTACTTTGGTTCTTTCACAAAACCTTTTTAATTTTTTCCTTGTCCTGTCTTGGAGCTCAGACTAATAACAGTAGCAACAACAATGACAATAAACATCTCTTGTAATGCAGTTTGCTAAATTATGTCTTGTTTGGGTCTGCTTTCATTAATTTTGTCTGGAACACAGTAAGTTCTTTTGATCCATATTCTGAAGTATTGTTTTCATTTCAGGAAAGTTTACTTCACTTCTGATTTTGATTATTGCTTCAGTTCCATTTGTTTTCATTTCTTTAAAGAAATAACTCAATAACGCTTATGCTGGAGGCAGTACCATGCAGAGGCTAAGAGCAGAGCTCTGTATTCTACCTGCCCATGTGGTGGAACCACTCTCCTGAACCATGGTGGGCATAATGTTTGCCCTCTTAGTACCTCTGCTTCCTTAACTGGGCAGTGAGCACAGTGGGAGTCCTGCGTGGGAATGTCTCAAGGTGACAAGTGTATTGTGAGCTCTCAGCCTAGATTAACCATTTTTATTGCTAACCATTCATTTCTCAACCCATTGCATTCTTGCCTCTTCTCTGCCTACATTATTGTACCTTAACTTTTCAGGGTAAAAGGGTGAATGAATCAGGACTATTCACCCTTTCTCTCTTTCCTAAAATATATAAGTTGTAAGAAAATTGGTCATATTGTATGGCATAACCCCCCCTCCCGCCCCACCACTACATATGTGCTTTGCTTTCTCATTATTTTTATCCTCTCATTTCTTTGTAGTCAGGGTACGTTCTTTTACTTGTTTGTTCCCTTTGCTGATTTGTTTTTCTTCCAGTGTCAACTTTACTTCGTGAAGTAGAGTTTTATTCCATTTTGCATTTTTAATATTCCCGAAATCTTCTTCTCATAGCTCTATTTTCATATCAGCCTGATAGATACTTAATTTTTTTATTACAACTTCTTATATGTCATAGAGGGTCAGGCTGTATGGTCTATTGGTTGAGTGAAATTATCTGCCCCTGGTTTTAGCTGTGCGATGCCAACAAAGTTATTCATATCTCTCTGTGCCTTAATCTATTTCCAGCTCTATAAAATGAAGATAATAATAGTACCTACCTCATTGATTATCAGGAGGAATAAATGAATTAATATATGTAAATTGTTTGGGAAAGAGAGCAGAAGAAACACGTAGTAATTATTAACTATTATCGTCCTTTCATTATCATCACCATCAGTGACATCATCCTTTGTTTCTGTGCCAGATTCATGGAGGCCTTTTCTTCTTATTCAAGTTACCAAAGAGTGTTCTAGTTTTTCTTTCTTTTTTCTCTCTCAAAGTAGTTGGAATTTTGTTCTGCAGTATTCTTTTTAATAGCCCTTGTGTGTGTGTTTGTTGCTTGTTTATTCATTTCAGAACAAGAAGAGCTCTTTCTTAAACCTCTGTTAGCAAAGAGATTGATGTCTGACTACTCTTGGCCATGCATGTTACAATTTTGAGTGTTGTAGAATCACTTTTTAGTTCTACACGGGCTCAGTTAATGAGCTCAATTTCCTCTCACCAAAGGTAATTAGTTAAGGCAGCTGCCCCAGAATGAAGTGGGAGCTTCTCTTGTCATCTCTCCCTGCTCTCTAACACTACAGGGGTAGGAAATATAAAAACCAGCAATTTCCCCACTGGTACCCTCCTTCAACTACCTCCCTCAATATAATGACAGTTTGCATGGTCATCCCTGTTTAAATTGTTGACATGTTGTTATTGGAAAGCTGGGGTTTGAGAGACTGTTAAAAGGGAAGTACCAATTGGCAGGATTGTCTGACCCTCTTGCCACCTCACTCAGTCACTCTACATCAGATGGCCTGTCACCCAATTCTGTGGTTGGCAAATACGTAGAAATCTATGCTAAAGTGGAGAAGAATACATACCTTCCTTATTGTTTCAGGAAGGTAGCTCTTCTTTACTTCAGGCAGTAAAACATGTATCACATACCTTCTTTGGTCCTTACCATATGTCTCTGTGATTTTGTAGTTCATTGAGAACTCCTTTAGGACTTTGCAGTAGTGTGTCTATAAGGTCAGTTTTTCTGAATTTTCTGTTTTCCTTCATTAGGTATTTTGCTGACAAATTGGAAGAGGTTTTTAGGATTGCTATAGGGGATACCATTTCCAAAAGAATCCTCTCTATTTTAACCTTTGTATGATTCTTAGGTGAGGTCTTCCTAAAAACTCCCTAGGCTGTCATTCAATGGAGTCTTTTCACAGATGAATAGGATATTCACTGAAAAAATGACCAAGTAAGTAAGAAGGACAGTAAGGAAATGAATGAGAATTATTTTGGATTTTATTAGTTTTAGTAATATAACTAAGACCAGCTAGTTTGGGCTGTTGCATAAGTGAAATAAACTGAAACATCAAAGGTTCTACAAATCACCCTCTTGTACTGATAAAGTATCTGAGATCTTGTGAAGTTTATATTGTTTTGTTTTGTTTCTTATCCGGAAGGAAAAGATAAGGACAGTTCAGGAAAATGTTATTTAGTTAAACATAGTAATAGAGACTGACCTAAGAGTTTTAGTTTTCCTACCTTCAGGAAACGCTCCTCTAGTCCCACTCTGGGTGTGACAGAATTTTTGCTTCTGACTAATTCTCATGGGTAGTGATGAGTGTCAGCCTATTTGTTAAGAAATTCTTTGATTTGCTCTCTTTTCTTCAATATGGATTCATAATTTTACAGGGATGTTCAGCCCTGGCAATTTATAATTTAATTTTTACCATTAGAGTCACAATCCTAATAATTATCTTCTCATTTACTAATACCTCAATCTTTTTCAACAGGCTTATGCATCATTTGTGTACATCTCAAATACTTTTCTCTGCAATGAACGTCACTTAACTTTTATTCTTAAAATCACTTTTTCCTTACTATAGACAGAAGGAAGTTTATACTTTTGAATTAATACTCTGCTTCATTTTTCAGCCTCTGTGACAGAGTTGCATAATTCAAAGTCATTAGACTTTATCTTCAATTTGGCAAATATTTGCTATTTTTGAATTTTTTTTCCTATTTTACTTTTATTAACTTTATATAGAAATATAAATTTCTTATTTGCAAATTTTAGGCTATCTCACATAATGATAGTATCTAGAAAAATAGGACTTGAAACATTTTTCTTGCTTTTGATGACCTTAGACAAGTCATTTATTTTTCTGCAGAATCATCTGTTGAATAGGCATAATGGTGTTTGCTCCCATATCTAATGGTTTTGCTATCAGGACCAAAGGAGGTAGGGCAGGATTTTCAGTGCTGACTACATCCTGTCAGTCACAGACCTCTAAAAATATAGTTTCATCCCCTTGCCCCGCCCTCCTGCACCAAAAAGTTTAATTTGTCTAGGTTGGAGTCTAGCCATTAGTCACTGCAGTGCAGGCAGGTTCCAGAACCACTAAGGTAAAGCATGTGGAAGCATTTAGAGATATGTTAGTGATCGTAATACATGATTTGACATAGGAACATGTCACATGGTTGTACAGAAGGGAAATAGCTTGTGTTGGAAGAATTTAAACTTCCTAGTTCAGCCTGACATTCAACTGAGGTAACTAACTTCAGTAAGGTGACTACTTTTTGATTTACTTAATCAAGATTCAGATGATATAGTACCACCCTTACTTTTACCCAATTTCCTTGGATTTTGGGGGACTGATCAGGGTAAACTTCACTTGGGTAAAGTAAAACTCTGAATGCAATGCCTTTCTTTCCTACTTCTTAATCACCATTTTACATAAGAAGTCTATTGCCTCTTTTGCATATACATTTATATAAAAGTAGTGATTTGATACCTTCTAAATAATGAGAAAGTGGTGGTGGGCATACATGTATTGTCATGTTAAGAATGCATTCTGCCTTGGCTCGTGTGGCTCAGTGGATTGATCACCAGAGGGTCACTGGTTCAATTCCCTGTCAGGGCACATGCCTAGGTTGCAGGCCAGGTCCCCAGTGGGGGGCGTGCAAGAGGCAACCACACATTGATGTTTCTGTCCCTCTCTTTCTTCCTTTCTCTCTAGAAATAAGTAAATAAAAATCTTTAATAAAAAGAATACATTCTAAAAGAATACTTCAGGGTAAATCAGATTCCTTCTGTTACATTGTACCATGTGCTGTTCTTAGGATCCAAATAACATATTTAGCACAGGGTTAAAATCAGTAGTCATAAAATGAATGGAGAGTCCTATGACTTTAGCTTTCATTGAATAGATTTGTCTCCAATAATTATAACATGAGTAAATTTTCCTCTTTGAACTTTCAACAATGAATCACTCACATCTTACCAAGATTAAAACAAAAGAAATCAAAAGTTAAAATAGTTTTAGATCTGTTTAAGAAATTGAATTTGTAATTAAAAGCTTTTCACAAAGAAGCCATTAGATTCAGATGTCATAGCTAGTGAATTCTTACAGAATTTAAAGAAGGAATAATACCGCTTTTCTAGAGACTAGAAAAAACAGTAAACACATCCCAAGTGTTGGGAAATATTTTTTGAGTGGCCTAATAGTTTCAAGTGTTTGAGGGCTTCTAGAATTCTTAGGCTCTACTTTTGAGAGTATATGTTGATCAAAATCACATTGTAAAATAGTTTGGGTAGCTGTTAAATGTGAACAGATGCATAACTTCTGACTCAGCAATTTCATTCTTAGTTATATAACTGTGTACATAAATGCACCAAAAGATTTGTAAAGAATGTTTATTGTTTCATTACCATAATAGCTCAAATCTGGAAATAACCCAGGTGATCGATGGAAAATGGGTGATACATAAATTTCTTATACTGAAATACTACATAGCAGTGAAAAAAACCAGCTACTGCTATATACAACAGTATGGGTAAATCTCACAAAGAAAATGTTGAGCAAAAGATGCCAGTAAAATAGATTATGGTTTCATTTATATAAAATTTAAGCACCTCCACATCTTATATATGGTGATCAATTTCAGAGTAATAGTTTGTGATGGGGGAGGGACACAAAAGAACTTCTTGGGTTCTGTTTCTTGGTCTGGGTGGTAGTTGCAGGGGTGTGTTCATGTCATAAAGTTTGTGAAGCTGTAAATTTATCATTTGTACCCCTTACAATATATGTTATTTATTTTTTAACTAAACAACTGAGAAATTAGATAAGTATGAGTAAAGTAGCCTGGAACAACTTTAAGGAAGGCACTGATAAGTAGAAACTTAAATCATACATTTATACATTCTTAATATATTCAGCATAAGATTGTAAATGAAGTGCAGTTCACCTAATATATATATATCTCAAAAATGAAGTTCTTTTTTCCTTTAAGGGAAGGAAAATAATTCTTTTTTTTTAAAGATTTTATCTATTTATTTTTAGAGAGGGAAGGGAGGGAGATAGAGAGAGAGAGAGAGAAACACCAGTGTGTGGTTGCTGGGGGTCATGGCCTGCAACCCAGGCATGTATCCTGACTGGGAATTGAACCTGTGACACTTTGGTTCGTAGCCCGCGGTCAATCTACTGAGCTACGCCAGCCAGGGCTGGAAAATAATTCTTTTAGGATATCATATGAGAGGCTGATAAAAGAGTACTAATAACCTATTCATATATGTTTTATTTTAAAAGTTGTCATCATTTAACTAAAAAAAAAATGTGTAGTGAGTAAAGGGAACTCTATCCATGAGATTGCAGTGGAGTACTCTCACCCTATGAGAATTATTTTTATTGGATATGTGATGGAGATCACAAGAGCCCTGGATTATTAAATGTTTTACTTTGTTTTGGTTTTTTTTTGAAAGTGTGTGTTCTCACTGATTCAGCAGCCTTCTTTGTTGCTCTCATGGTGAAATGACAAGTTCTATTTCCTTTTCAGGTGCAAGTGTTTGGACTCTATTCTGGAGAAGAATTTCATGAGACTTTTGACTGTCCCATTAAAGTAGGTATTCAGTAAGTTTTAATTTTTCTAAGGGTATTCTCACTGAAGGCCATAAGGATTCTAATACTTTGAGTACTACCAATTTTCCATTAATTTTGTCAGTAAGCATTTATTAAACACAATGTACTAGATACTATTTGATGCTTTAAGGGAGCACAGGATGTATGTTATGTGATTGTGATTTCAGCTTATCCTCAAGAATATTCTTGTAGTGGGTACAGTGGTACACACACACACACACACACACACAACATCTGATTAATGACTCAAGCTGGTAAAACAATATTAAGCAGTCCAAAGCTGAGAGCAGTTTCTTTTAGCTATTTTTGTTAGTGATGGCTTTAGATGGAGTGATGTTTGACTGGACTTTAGTAAATGGACAGGGCAGATGGAGAAGTCGGCTTTCCATGTGGAAGAACAATGTAATAGAAGTGGAGATGCTAGAAAGTTCAAATTGTGTTCAGGATGTGGCAAATAGTCTAGTTTAGATGGTGCATAAAATACTGATTTGGCAGGATTGTTATATAGACAGATGGGCTGGCTGTATATTTAGGCTAAGGTATTTGGACTCTGTCTGATAGGGAGAAATTGCTGAATGTTTAAGAGAAAAAAAGTGATATAAACTAAGCTAAACTTAAGGAAAATTAATATAGCAACTGTATGTAATGTAGATTGGGGGGCTGATAGCCACAAGACAGGAAGACCAGTTTTAGATAACAGTTTCATTAGTTAAAGTGATTATTGCAGTTGGGAGGAAGAGGTCATTTATTGTTTTCACTTGTTTATTCTAACATTTATGGGTTGACAGGTAAAGGGGAGATAAGGTCAGATAGTGTTTTAGAAAGTCAAATCTGTCACGATAAAGGGTGATTTAAAGAGGAAAGTGACTGTGGACAAGAGACAATTTAGAAGGCTAATGCAGTATTGTAGGCAAGGGCATTACAGGATATCAGTAAAAAGAGCAACAGTGAGGCCCAGATGGATATCTCAGTGGTTAGAGCATCATCCTGCTATGCCATGGTTGTGGGTTTGAACTCTGGTCAGGGCACATACGAGAAGCAACTAATGAATGCATAAATAACAAAGTGAAACAACAAAACTGATGTTTCTTTCTCTTTCTCTCTCTCTCTTTCTCTCTCTCTCCCCCCTACCCCCACCCCTAAAATCAACAAATAAAAAAAAATTTAAAAAGAGCAATAGTGAATATAGTCATACCTCAGAGATATTGAGGGTTTGGTTCTAGACCACTGTAATAAAGCAATTTTGGCAATAAAGAAAGTCATAAATCTTTTTGCTAGTGGAGGGTCTTGACTTCAGTTTCTAAAAAGCACAATACCTATGAAGTGCAATAAAATGAGGTATGCCCATATTCAAGATGGAGTAGAAGAAATGAATTTGGAAAGCCTTTGGGAGGTAGATTTAACAAGCCTTAGTGATAGATTTGATGAGAGTGATGAAAGGTGAAGGAGATAAGGGTAAATCTAGGTACATGCTTTGGCATTGGTGTGGGAATGCCATCTTGCAAATAAAGGGTGATTTGAGTAAGGATGTTGCTGATTGGGTTTTGAGTTTAGATAACTATAGTATATTATGGAGACTTTGGAAACATGAGTGTGGAGCTCAGGATGGAGATTGGGCCTAAAAACACAAAGTTGATAACCAGAGTTGAGTAAAATGAAGCCACTTTTAAAGAGATCTAGTATCTAGTAATTCTAGAAATCTAGATGATGAAATTAAAGTCAGGTAGTGGGGTGTGGGGGTGTTGGGGGGGTATGGTGAATGACAGCAAGGGATCTAAGAAGAATCAGTTAGAAGGAAGAGAGGAGACCCAGAATAATGGTGTTGGGAAGACAAAGGAGAGAGGGTTTACAAAGGAATTAGTGGGCAGCAGTGTTGGAAGGCAGTGTGATCACACAAGGTAAGAATGGAAACGGCATTTTATTTGATAATTGTGAAGGCATTGGTGGCCTTAGTGAGGACAGTTTCAAGAGTAAGAGGATCACCATATATTACGAAGTAAATTCATGATAAAGAAGATAGAAATAACTTCTTTAGATAGATATATAGTTATTTTGTGATAGAAATAACTAGTATTAGACTCTTCCTTCAAGAAATTTGGTAACGAAGAAGAGAGATCATCTGGTGGGTAGGGAGAGGTCAGTCCCCAGAGATTTCTGCAGATCATGTTTTGGTAGATGGTAAAAGCAAAAAAATAGTAGCAGGGGAACATTGGAAACAAAAGAAGGGAATACCTAGTGGAACAGCAGGAAAGAATGCAATCCACCATGCAGGGACAGAGAATAGCCTTGGGAAAGAGTCCTGTAGCCTCTGCCTGTGAGGCCTCTGCCAAGCCCAACTACTGCTAAGTTGGGGGGTGAAGGAAAAGTAGTTAGGGTAGTAACCCTGATGGCCTTGTTTTCTTAGTGGTGAAGGAGGGAAAGGGTAAGATAATGTGACTGAGTTGCATAGAGGATGTCTGGAATAACAGTTGCTACCTAGGGTTATGTATTACAAGAACACTAGAAGTACTCTAATGAGAGGGTTGAAGAATGTGTAACAACAGAATGAATACATGATTTCATTGGTATCTAGGACAGAATTGAAAAGTGTTGAAGGAAAGAAGGGCCAGCCTGGGAAGGAGGTGTGTTTAGAGAAAGAAGGGGTCCTTCCACAAGCCCTAAAATGATAGTGTAGGAGGAAGAATTCATTCCATTGGAAATGGAAATTTATAAGAACATAAAATGTATTTAGTTGAAGGCTTATGAAAGTATAATTGTGTGGATTTTTTTAATGCCTGAAAATAGTCTGTATGTTAAGTTAGGGAAAAAAACAAAATGTATTGGTGATTACATATATGCAGGCTTACAGCAACAGAAGGGGGTCCCTCAGACAGTCTGGCACTGAGTGGTGCCACTGCACCTTCAGAAAGCCACTGGCAAATGAAGTGGGAAGTGATGAGGGGTGGAACAGCTTGGGGAGAAATCTGTGTAAGGGATTGGGAAGAGACTGGCTGAGTGGAAAGTCAATGAGAATCAGGGACAGGAACTGAGGCTGGAGCTAAAAGAGAAGATCCTGAATGATTAGCTCCATAACTGTTGGATCCTACAGCTGTTTGATGTAGCTACACTAAGTGTCTATGAGGCTGCATTGCCCTACCTGTTCTTCCACTTGGTGCCTTCAATCATTGGAAGGCATCCTGGACAAGGAAGGAGCTAGTTGGGTTCTTTCTTTGGGATCCTTCTATGAACTATATTCAGTTGCAAGCATTTGTGACATCTTTCTACCTTGATTGGTCTACTTTGCCTTCTATACAGAGAGCGTGCCTACTCAGAGTCCTCACTCAGCCAAAACTAGATCTAGTGTTCACTCTAATCTTTTAACTTTGACCTGGCTTCATAGCAGAAATCTTTTCACACAAGAGCAAAACTCAGACATCCTCATATTACCTGAATAGATTACTTCCTACTATGATAGAAGGATGATTTTTAGATCATGCTCCCTATAATGCATAGAGTTTTTATACTGTGTCTTAACCATGATTCCTAAACTAGTGTCGGGTCCTTGTTCCCTTGTAGATCATTGCTGTGCATCCGCATTTTGTGAAATCCAGCTGCAAGCAGTTTGTGACTGGAGGGAAGAAGGTAAACACTGTTTACCATAATGTGCAGTCTTTTGGGGGGCGGGGGTGGGGTTTGCTCTTTCATTTATCCTTAATATTTTGAATGTGTGACTGTTCATTAGGAGATATTTTGAGAAATAACAATGTAACACTAAGACCATTGTCTCATGGGGGAGGTGTGGCCCCAGTGTTTCTCACTGACATTCCTTTGGAGTGGCTTCAGTGCAAGGCAGAAAGGGATAGGTTGTGTGTTACTCAAACTACCTTCTAACTCTGAAATGTTGTCTCTCCCCCCTCCTCCCCCAAAAGAGATAGCATTTAAAAATAACAAAAAAGCAATTCAACTAGTGTTTTTTTTCCCTTTATAGAAAATCTCTTGCAGGCCTTGAGAAAGTTTTAGAACAATTCTGACTATTTGTTCTTGGTATTTGTTCTTTGATATGTCCTTGGCATATTTTATTATCTTAGTGTGATTTTTAAGAGAATAAGATAATCCTTTGTGCATGTTTGTTTATATAGTAAATTGTAAAGCAGTATTTTTACTTATAGAAGGTTGTTAGTTTTTTTTCTATTTTTATGAACCAGAGATACATTTAAAACCATTTTTTTAATCCTCACCTAAGGATATGCGTATTGATTTTAGAGAGGAGAAGGCAGGGAGATAGAGAGGGGGAAACACATCTGTGTGAGAGAGAAAGATCTATTGGTTGTAGGATGACACCCAAACAACTGAGCCACACTGGCCAGAGCTAAAACCCATTTCTATAACAAAATGTCACTACTGTGCTGGAACTGTGAATATTATTGTATATTCACTTTAGAGCAGTGAAAGGAGGTAGTCTGTGGTTATTTCTGTGGCAGTGCATAGCTATGGAATGGCTCCTTTGATGCCCAGATATTAAGTGGTTTCTAGTGGTTTATGGTAGTTATGTCTTTTTCCCTTGTTCTGCTGCTTTGCAGAATGATAGTGTTACCAAGTAAGGACCAGCTGCCCAACACACATAAGAGCCAAAACTATGACATTGGTTTTGGAAAAAGGAAAGACGGTTTTGTTATTGCTGAGTTGACCCTCAGAGATAGGAGGCACCACTCAAATCTCTTTTCCCAATCTGGGGTCTGGACAAATTTTAAGGGTAAGGGAGAATAGGGTGGTATGTGGTAGTGCTGAGGAGCAAGTTTTGATTAGAGGGTTTTGAAACTTTGCCAATTATGGTTTGGAGTTGATGGGCAAGAGAAAACACAAAGAAATTGTTTGGTCAGTTCTAAATTTGTCCATATTTCATCTAGACACTGCATCATCTTTTACTGTTACTGGAGTTCTGTAACTAGAGTTACTCGAGTTACTGTAATTCTGTTACTAGAGTTCTGTAGACTGAAGAGTCTTGGTTTCAGGTTTATATTGATGACTGGGTTGGTACATGCACACTACAACTGTCCTTGTAAAATAATTCAAAGATTGTATTAATTACCAATTTGCTTTAAGGGAGCAGAATCAGTGTGCTGTTTCAATAAGGCAGTAAAGCATATTGGTTATTACCTTACCCAGCATTTTTCAAGCAGTGGTTTTAGTTCATTGTCATGGTTGAGTGATAGGTCCTGTAGATCCTGATTCCATTTCACAGCTTGAGCCACAATTGCACCAGCTCTGATTTCTGGTTGCAAGCTAGCCAGTTTCTTTCCTCCCACCCATCAGGCCTCTGTTATCTTTAGGCTTTAGCCTCATTAGCCTCATATAAATTGTCTGTGGAATTCATCAGTGGGAATTGCAGATTTAGTCATTCTGTAGCTTACACGTGCAGTTGATTTACTCCTAAAAAATAACTTGCTTTTGTTGATCTCAGGAAAGGGTAGCTTTCAAATTCCTCTTGTGAAAGTAGTTTTTACTGAACTCTCTTCATGTAGCACATGTTATGTCAGATTTAGCATACATTCATTTAGCTATACTTTAAAGTCATGCATTTTTTAAATTAAAACACAGTAGGGAGAAAGAATGCTGAGCCACTTTTTTGGTTTGTTTTTTAAGTGGCTTAAAACAATATATTTTTTCACCTCACAAAAATGTAAAATTCAAAAATTAAAGCATGGCTTGCCTTGCATGTTTCTGGCTCAGGATCCTTCATGAGGTTTCAGTCTAGATTTTGGTTGGGACTGCAGTTATCTGAAGGCCTGACTGGGGCTGGAGAATCTGATTCTAAGATGTCTGCTATCTTTTTAATAATAATCTTCATAAAATATTGATAACTTAAAATATTTATAAATCACTGTGTTTTACATTTTTTCCTAGTGTGGGATATAATTTTGGAGCTCCAGTTTCAATTTCAGGAGTTAGAGATTTTACAATTGTGCCTTATTTCTGAAATGAAAGAACATATTAGAGATATTATGACTAGTGATGCCCAAGGGGTAAGATGAGAGATGAGATTTTTCTGAGTTAGTTTGTATTCTTAATAATCAGCTGATTAGTGGAGTTTAATGATTGTTTTTATCCTGTGAAGGATATCTGTAGTCTCATCAAGTTTGCCACAGTTTTCCTACATGAATGTGTTGTTAACCTGCAGTATATCTGGCTTAACTGTGCCAATAACATAGTCTCCATTCTTCTACTTAGCATTTGATATCATTTGTAAACATCTATAGAAAGGACAGTGTAAATGTAGCTGTTTGGGTTAGAGCACATTGAGTAGATAAATGGACATTATGTAAGCAACAGAGAAGTCCATCATCCAAGTACAGGTGAGGTAATGTGGAAAGAAGTTAGAATTTATACTAAGATATACATTCTGATAAGCAAACAGCAAAATAAGTAGAATTCACTGAATGCTGAAACAGGAAAGAAAATAATGATTTTTGGTTTATCTCTTTGGTTGTATTTGACTGCTTGACAAGTTTTTCTATGTTTAGTGTCTATGAGAGAACATTCTCATATCTCCCTTTTCCTTATTCGGTTCTCTAGAAACGCATCTGTAGACATTTCTTCCCAAGCACGAAAAGGTGTTTAATTAAGTGTATACAGAATAAAAACAGTTTAGATCATCTGGTGAAAACTTTTAAAAATGATGTTATTAAGGTAGTGTTTCTAATTAAAATAATGTAAAAGAAAAAACACACTATAAGTTTAGTATATTCCATAAAGAGCTTAGTTTATTGGTCATAATAAAAGTATATGTATGGTGTTTTGAAGTAAAGAAACATACACTGTAAAGTCACTTTTTAAAAATTTTAATAGCTTTGTTGATATATAATTTGCATATGATAAAGTTTACCAATTTAAAGCATAGAATTCAATCGTTTTTAATGTATTTATAGAGTTGTGCAATCATCACCAAGTGCAATTTTAGAACATTTTCTTCATCCCAATAAAGAAAACTTATACCTACTAACATCATTCCCTAACTCCTTTCTTCCCCTTCTTAGCCCTAGCCAACCGCTAATCTACTTTATTTCTATATAAATTTTCTCTTTCTGGATATTTCATATAAATTATGGATATTTTGTATAAATGGACTCATATAGTGCTTAGCCTTCTTATTTGACTTCTTTCATTCACTTTCTAGATATGTCCATATTATAGCATGTTTTAGTACTTCATCTTTTTTATGACCAAATCATATTTCATTGTATGGATATATCATATTTTATTTAGTCATTTATCAGTTGATATACATTTAAGTTGTTGCCTCCTTTTGACTATTAGGGATAAAGCTGCTGTGAACATTCACGTACAGCTTTTTGTGTGGCCATGCATTTTCATGTGTCTTGGGTGTGGAATTGTTGTTATATGGTAACTATGCTGAACACTTTGAGGAGTTGTCAAACTGTTTTCAAAAGTGATCACACCATTTTACATTCTCATTAGCAATATGTGATGGTTAATTTTCCACATTATCACTAACACTCAGTTTTATCTCTCTTCCATGATAACTATCTGTTGGGTGTGAAGTGGTATGTCATTGTTGTTTTGATTTTCATTTTTTTAATGGCTACTAATGTTGAGCATCTTTTCATGTACTTATTGGCCATTTGCATATTTTTTTTGAAAATTGTCAATTTGAATTTTTTGCCCATTTTTTGATTGCACTATTTGTCTTTTTACTATACAGTTATATATATTCTTTATATATTCTCTTCCTTATCTACATATGACTTGCAAATATTTTCATACATATATATGTTCCTTCTCTACATATGAGTTGCAAATATTTTCTCCCAATATGTGAGTTGTCTTTTCACTTTATTGATGTGATATTTGAAGTACAAAAGTTTAATTTTGATGAAGTCTCATTTAATTTTTTTTTCTTTTGACACTTGTGGTTTTGGTGTTATATTTAAGAAGTCATTGCCTAATTCAAGGTCATGAAGTCTTACACCTGTGTTTTCTTCTCAGAGTTTTATAGTATTAACTCTTACATTTAGCTCTAGAATCCACTTTGAGTTAATTTTTGTGTATAGTATAAGGGAGGGGTCCAACTTCAGTCTTTTCCATATGCATGCATGTCTAGTTGTCCTAGGACCATTTATTGAACAGACTTTTTTCACCATTGTCTTGGCCCCTTTGTCAAAAATCAGTTAACCATAAATTTCTGAACTTTCTTTTCTAATGATCTATATTAATCTGTTCTTGTACTAGTATCCCTTTTAGAGCCACCAATTTTGTTTTAATTATTTATGGGTTAACAAACAAATACACTCCTCTTCAGGCATTTTGATTTTGAGTTCTTTCCCTTTAAAAAGCCATAATTTCTTCTATTTATGTTAGGGGCTTAAGAAACATTGGTATGTAAATGTGTCTTCTGTGTCTTCAGGGACTTGAAACATACAAACTATTGACTGATTTCTTTGGATACATTAACATTTATTATGTAAATGTATATTTAGTTAGTAGTAAAAAGTAGTGTATATTCAATAAACTATAGTGACCTCTTTGTGTACAGTTAAATAACTATAGAGATTTCCAAAATGTGCACCAGTGTGGTATGGTCTGCAGAAATCTTCAAAGAAAGTTCTTCTTTCTGTATGCACTTT